ATCGGCCCCGGCCCCTCTATCACCCATTGCCCGCCCACTAACTCAGCTCTAAAAGTCTAGCGATCTTAGGCGTAGCCTCACCCATGGTCACCATCCAATGGAAGGATGAATGTGACTTGTTGTCTCTTCTCTGTTAATAGAGTTACATATAAACTTAACCTGGATAGGGGAATACTGTATGCGGGCTGTCACTTTGCATGTTACTGCATTCACTATGATCATAATATTGTATAATAGTATCTTACAAACTCGAGGTGAATTCCCTCGTCTCCCTTGTAGGCGGGGATCTGGAACGCCTCGCCTCTTCTAAACTCGCCCGCCTCGCACCTCTCGGTGGCTTGGATGGCCTAGCCTGGGTGTCCCCTAGGGTCTGGGTAACGTTAGTTTAAGGTGAGCTTAGGTTGGCTTGGCTTCTTTTTATCTGACAAAGCCAACTGCGCCCTCCCTCGGTCGCTCGGTATCGTTCCACTGCCCGCAAACTCCGGTGAGATAATGCCGTGAGATATAAACCGTAATTGCGAATTTAGCCAAAGTACTCATCCTCCCGAAGTCCCCGGTGAGAGGAGTGTTCTACAGTGTATTGTTGGTAGTCCCGTCTTTTGGGCATCCTAGGGCGAACGAACCACTAGAACAGTACTTACGTTTCGAGTCTGTCTATGCGCTAGAATCATGAGGCGCCGATAGCGTCTTGCCAGATCGGAAAAGAGACCCTGTGGGTTCTCGATACTGGTTCCCGCGGTCTGGGCTGCTGGGGTTAGACTCTGCGGATTGTAGAAAATGATCGAGTCGAAAGCTGATGACATGAATGAGGCTATCAGCATTGCAGTACTTCCTATCCTGGTAACTGACGTTTGTGCAATGGCAACGTGGGGAGATGTTAAAACAGGGTCATTTTGCTTGTGGAACGACGCTTGACAACATCCGAGTTACGGACTCGAAAAAGACCCCAACTTTGGCCTGGAAGTGGCTTCGGGATCTAATACTGAGCCCGGCCCTTATGAAAACCCAACTCCAAACTCGACAATTTATCAATTACATTGATCTGCAAAGCCTTTAAATGTCGCTGTAGCTTCCATAATCAGAAATGTTCGCGTGCCTGAATAGACTACCCTGGAAACAGTGGCATGATAAAGCTTGAACCATCGTCAAGGGTTATCAACGCTAGTCAGCCATGCTTTACCTGAGATGTGAAAAGGCAGAATTATCTTGAATTTGAATGCACTTCATCAAGAGACATGAGATCTAGTTATTAGGGCTGGGTTATTGAATTGAACCTAGTCGACTTGTTTACAGTAAAAACATCTCCCAAACCCATAACGTCATATCCAGTGGGACTTGCAACATTCAGAAAAGATATACAAGAGAGGCTGTGTTGGCATACCTACAAGAAGACTTCTTACATAAATTGGATTCAAGCTTATTGCGCTAATTCATAAGATCTCGTAGTATTTACGCGTAGGTTTATGAGCCGTAATTGACCTTCAAGAAGTTCACCAGTGAAACTTTCTAAGTACGCGTATTTAAAAGCCTTCAGTCACGATATGTTGTAGAAGGGCGATACTGGTAATGCTTGCTAATGACGTTTCATAAGCTTAACATATTAGGCATTACGAGGGGCATATTTGCGTATTTCTGTGTCGTGTTGTGAATATCGAGTAGGGTTCCAGGTGCTGAGTGTTATTTGTGTAAGTGAGTCAAGCCGGCTGGGCCTTTTGCTCTCATGCCTTAGTCCACACCAGCCATCTTGTACCTTATTCCAGCCAAATTAACATTTCGAAGGCTTTCTGGTATTGCATTTGGAGAGTAACCAAATGATCCTTATCGTATTGCCAGAGGAACCTGCCATTGTGTGACCGAAGTGTCTCCGCTGGCATAGACTTATGATGACTGCTCACAGAAAGGACGCGGAATAGCAAATAGTTCAGTATTCGCGCCGGACCTATAAGCACACACACACACACACACAGAGAGAGAGAGAGAGAGAGAGCCAAGTCTTTGATGTCATAACTAAGATCTGATTTACAAGCAAGCGCAAGAGACGCATCGAAGTGTTTACGAGCTCTGATTGTCAAGACAAGGCAACCTTGTGTTGAACTCGATGAGGTTGAAACCTGGCAAGCTATTGGACGAATGCGACGTAACAACTCCGGTATGTAGGCTTTACGGTGATACTGCAGACGATTACTGGTAACTAACTATTGCCTGCTGTGTCTCGTCCAGAGCGTCGTCATAACCTGCAGTATGGCATCGGTCTCTCACATACGACCATACCTATCAGAGAACTCGGGATCCCGTCCGCTCTCCCATAGATAAGCTGATAAGGGGCGGATTAGTAGTTGGGTCGGTGACGACCAGCGAATCCCCGCTGTTGTATGTTTTATGGTGATAATTCTTTTTGGTGTTTTGGTCAAGTGAAGCTCAAAGTGGCCAAACTATTTTTACCGGTACCCACCTTACTTTAGTAGGCTAGCGGCCCTCACGATGGACGCTCGGGAAATCCGTTTCGATTTGTGGCCATTGTTTCTGTTCCGTGGCTAGACAGATCATCTCTAGATACGATAGAATGGGAGTTTCATTGTTTGGGCTGCGCAAGGTCCAGCCGCCTTCCTTTTCATAAGAGGCGGAAATTCATTAGATCATCTTTTCATGATCATATTCGAGAGTGCGGCAACATTGAAAATGGAATGCATTCTAAAACTTAAAGCTATGAGGAGAAAGGGATACAATTTTTTTCTGTATAAGTTGTATAATGGCCGTATTCCTCTCTCGAAGACGGCCAAAGGACGGCCGAAATGTGCAGTGTTCTTCCTGATGGGCCTTGTTCGAAAGAGGAGCTAACGAGATGGTCAACTTGACAGGCACTTAAATGCTGGTACTGCTACTCTTCGGCTCAGTTGAGTACGGGGCAAGTCGATGAAACTCGAAGCTAAAAACGGGCACCACAATCAATGTGGTAGATCAACAAGCGTGAGAGGCCGTAAGCAATACGTACAACAAACTATTGACCTCATTATTGTATCTATTTGCTGGCATATGAGCTTTAGAGAGCCAATGGGGATTGCTGTTGTGGCTCATTGAAGCACATGCTCTTGTCTTCGGGGTGCCTCAGGGCCTCAGCATATCATAAGTCTCTTCTGAGTGACACATGAGATCATTAAATACACATCGAGTTCGGTGAGTCTCCCTCTTACGTGGCTTGTCTATTTTTGAAAGCCCATCAGCTCGGATAAGCTTTCTTGTATGTCCTGTGATTTGTATGTATTAGATGTCGGCCTTCAAGTTTAGACTTTGGATGTTGTTTCTTTACCAAGGAGCAAGCGTCGACCAATAAAAAACGATTGTGTTCCTCAGAACTCAACTGTACCAAAGAAGAGATTCATATCCAATTGCTTGCCTCACTATTGTTCTGCCAGTCAAGGATTCAATAAGAAGTCGGAAGCAAACAGGGTTAAACGAAAAGGTGAGGGGAGGTGAGGTACATAGAGTTGCATGAGATTCACATACGAAAGCAAAGTACCGAGATCGATCAATGCAGCCCAGATCGAGGCCACACAGGCCTCCAAAACCCTGTTCTCCGATTGGCTTTTGGGTGAAGGCTACCACTAAAAAGGAAAAGGGCACAGCCTTCAGTCCCGTCTCATTAGGTTTATCTGACGGTCTGGCCGCTCGTGTTGACCATCTTTCTTCTTCTTTGTCTCGTTCGAACATTAAGCCTGTGGCAGTTCAACTTTTAGCTTCAAAATATATTCTATAAACCTTCCAGTTTCAACTACCAACGAATACCGACACCATGTCTCGTGGCAACCAGCGTGATCTGGCTCGTGCAAAGAACCAGGCGAAACTTAGTGCCGCGGTTTGTTCTCCTGACTTCTCGGGTAATCTTTGCATCTGCTGACACTCATACTTCATGATAATAGAAGAAGGGAAACCAAGATAGCGGTATTGAGATGCAGAAAAAGAAGGAATCTGACGCCGAAAAAATGCGACGAAAGCAGGCAGCTTGTATGTCCAACAATTTACACCCCTACGATCGACTGCCGAATACAACCACGAACCAACACAGCGTCGCTTTTGGAACAAGAGAATGCTGACAAATCTCACAGCTGATGCTCGCAAGGCTGCTGCAGGCACCGTAGGCAAGAAATAAAAGCTGCGACGAGCTCTGTTCGAATACTGCCAGCCTTGGCCCTCTTTGCCCCCCCCTCAGAAAAACATTGTTGAATTGCAATGCAAGTCGCGCGCGATAAGAGATGGAATCGGGGGCCAAAGGAGACCCCAGAGTATTCGGAACCAGATTGCCTTATGCAGCAACAGCAGCGACGAAACGAAACGACATTTGGGAAGCACAGGCGAAGCGGTGCAATAATATGGGTTGTCTTTGAAAGGATTGTATTAGCCTCCCGCTCCTTTTATCAATATATTTTGTTACGATGTTTGTCCGTGACGGTTAAACAAGTAGCGTCAATCTACCTTACGCATCCTTGTTCTTATTCTTGGTTTGAACTGACATATGTAGTTAAGCGATGTATCATGAGCATTATCAACGCACCTTTCCCATTCATCAAAGTTATGATTATAAATAAAGATGAAACAGTGTCATTTTTACAAAAGCGAAGCCGATCCCGTCAGCACGCGCAACATCTTCATGGTGCGCCTGAATATGAGTGCTGGATTGTCACATCTGAGAGCCGATTCTGACAGGTCATTCAAATCACATCAACGTTTGTGTTGGTTAAGCTTTACTTTTGTAACCCCTGCGTCCCTTGTTCAAACAGCAATTCTCATTTGCTACCGTCAACCAATATTGAAACGGATTCATCAGGCATGCTCCAACTACATTCCCTGCAGCCCGGCGCTTATGAGCGTCTCCTGATATCCATGTTGGGCGCTTAGAGCTGCGCGATATCATACCCCAAAATCTTTATGGAGCCAGAAGAACTCTATAAAGTTCTTTTCATTTGATTCCTCTATGTTGTATATATAATTATTGTATCATCGCAATGTTTTCTTCTGTGCGACGCATCTTTCGTTCCAAATCTCAACCAGATAAGACTTACAATGCTAAGGAGAAACCAACTCCTGAGCCTTCACCGAAGCCCGTAACTCAGACCCGGACAACATTCTTCTATTCTGGAATACAGACGTTTCATAGTACCGAAGGTGATAATATCGAGTGAGTTTGCGATGCCACTACCTACCTGGGCCAGGGTGTTTGCTCAATCATTGAACTAGCATCGTCTTCATCCATGGACTGAAAGGAGACTGTCAGAAAACATGGACAGATAAGACTTCGGGGAGTCCTTGGCCGAAGACACTTCTTCCTTTAGAGATTGAGACTGCACGTGTTCTCACTTACTCTTATGATTCAACTGTCACCGGCAAGGACGATGTTCCTTCGCAGAATCGAATATCTAATCATGCATATAATCTCGTGACTGCTCTCGCATCACTTCGACAGAGTGATAACACAGTAAATGTCCCCTACCCCTTCCCAATTAGTTCATCTCTGACGGTTTAGAATGAGCGGCCTATCATATTCATCTGCCACAGTCTGGGAGGACTTGTTTGTCAGGATGTAAGTCACTCACTCGAGGAGCAAGAAAACATCGAACCTCGATATGGAGTATCAAAACAAACTCATCAAATGGTCCCCTCAGCTTAGCAAAGATATGCTAAACCTCGATGCTAAGTTAATCTAAGTCTTTCTATCATTTAGGATCGAGGTCTCGAGTTTTCTCTCCTCCCCTAACATCAATGATTCTGACTGGAGAGCTTATTGAGAAAACAGGCACTTGTCACAGCGAGACAACGGTCTGAACAGCACCTCCAAGACATAGTCAACTTCACTCGTGGCGTCATCTTTCTCGGCACACCACACCATGGATCAAGCCTCGCCAAGATCGGAGAATTGGTCTCGCGCTCCGTTGGATTGATCAAAGAAACCAACAGCGATATTGTGCAAGTCCTCACAAGAGACTCGGAAGTCCTAGCCCGAATTCAGGATAGCTTTCAGGCTCTTCTCATGGCACGAAGCAAAGATGAGGCCACCATGATAGATATTACATGTTTCTATGAAGAGCTTCCGACCAAGAAGTTCGGAGTGATCGTACCCAAACATTCAGCCATCCTGCCTGGACACATTTCGATCGGAATACACAAGAACCATGCAGAGATGACAAAATTCTCCAATTTGAAGGAACCTGGATTTGTGGCCATCTGTGGAGAGCTAAAGCGCTGGATGAAGAGGATTCAGCAAACACAGTCCACGCCAAAGAAGCACGCTCCTGCCACATACTGTGAGTTCCTACTCAACAAAGGCTGCACTCGGGGAGCAGGAAAACATCAGGTGTCAAAATAAACTGGGCAAAGGTATCCCAAGTTAGCCTCAGTCGTTTTGTTATCTAGGATCGAGGTCCAGAGCTTCCTTTCCTCCCCCAGCGCTGGCCCTAGGAATCCTTGGCCTTTTAAGCCGAGTCCGCTATCAGTACCCAAATCAATACTGACTTTCTCATATCAGGCCTCGTTCCATACACTTTCAACCCAGGTTTTGTCGGAAGATCTGAGATACTTGACCTGTTGAAAACTCAACTGGGAGATCTAGAACCCCAGTCACATGCCAGGGGCCATCGAAGGGCTGCACTCTATGGTCTTGGCGGAGTCGGGTATGTTCAGTAACATGCAATCTATGCGCAAAGTGCCATCCACTGACTCGAAACAGAAAGACACAAATCGCCTTATCATATGCATACTGGACTCAGGAAGTTTCTCAGGATACTTCGGTATTTTGGGTCCATGCTAGTAGCGTTGAAAAATTCTCTGAAGGCTATGCCAGCATTGCCAACGAGTGCAGACTCTTGGGGCACGAAGACGCAACATTCAATGCTTTGTCCACAGTTAGAGACTGGCTGGAAAGCAAGGAAAGTGGAAAGTGGCTGTTGGTCATTGACAACGCTGATGATATGCAACTTTTCTTTCCTCACAACGAACCATCCAAGTTGAAGGCCAATGCTGAGAGTGGCATGGGCCAGTTCATACCACAATGTCCTCACGGCAATGTCCTTATCACAACAAGGAACATGCAGGTGGGCTCACGACTCACAAAGGGCAAATTTCCCATAGAAGTTGGCAAAATGGATGAAAATGAGGCGACTCAGCTTCTCCGCCAAGGTTTGCAGGAAGGCGATGAATCTGAAAAGACCCTGGTCGAACTCTCATCCCGCCTAGAGTTTCTGCCTCTTGCATTGGTGCAAGCAGCTGCCTTTATCCAGGAGAACTCCATTACAGTCGGTGAATATCTCGAGCTTTTAGACGGAAGCCAAAACGATCTTGTTGAACTTCTGAACGAAGAGTTCGAGACCGTCGGAAGAGACTCTGATACCCCTCGCGCAGTCGCCCAGACGTGGATGTTGTCCTTCCAACAGATAGAGAGACAGTATCGCTTCTCCAGTGAGCTGTTATCACTGATGTGTTTCTTCGATCGGCAAAAAATACCACTCGATTTCGTTGACTTTTACGCCAGAGAAACTCTACCCACAGAGTCAAACACCAAATTGCAACTTGTCAAGGCACTTGGGGTTCTAAAGGCATTCTGCTTCATTCGGGCAGAGAAGGGTGGCGATCATACTATGCATCGTCTGGTCCAATTAGTTACGCGAACTTGGTTGGCCCGAAAAGGAAGAATGGCTGAGTTTACAAGACACGCTTTCTCGGCAGTATCAGACTTTTACCCCTATGCAGAATTCGACGATGCCGAATGGTGGAAGGAAGATATGGCAACTTGCACAGCGTATCTTTCCCACGCAAGGTCTGTCCTTGAGGCTCAGATAATCGAAACAGAGGAAGACAAGCTTATCAGGGCTTCTGTGCTTCACAGGGTTGGATCCTTCTTCCGCTTTCAAGGCCGATACCGCGAATCAGAAAGCCTGCAACGCGAAGGTCTCAGCATTCGAAGAGAACTACTCGGCGAAGAGCATTTACAAACACAGGTCACAACCTCCGACCTTGCAGGTTCCCTAGCCGATTTAGGCCGATTCGAGGAATCTGACAAATTACTGAAGAGCCTTATCGAGACCTTGAGACGTCTTTATGGTGATGACCATGAGGAAACACTCAATGCCATGGGTAATTTGGCCGTGCACTTGGCTCATCAGGGTAAAGAAGAAGAATCACATGCCCTGCTGATCCAGGTTGTTGAGTCAAAGAAGCGAATACTTGGAGAAGAACATATCAGTACGATTGAAGCGATGGACAATTTGGCAGTCGGTCTTGAAGAGGAGGAGGGAGCAGAAATGCAAAGACGAGTCATAGAAGTAAAGATTAAAGTCTATGGTGAAGAGAACCCCTCGACCCTCCACAGCAAGGCGAACCTGGCTACGATACTCTTCCACATGGGTGGTACTAATCTCTCAGAGGCAGAAGACTTGCAGCTGGAAGTCTACGAGACCAGAAAAAGGGTACTTGGCAAGGAGAATCCGGATACTCTTAGGATTATGAACGATCTTGGACGCTCTTGGGTATTGATCGGCCAAAGCACCATGTATACCAGACACTTGTATCCTGATGTGGACATACTCGGCGACGCGAAGAGCTTACTCGAGGAATGTGTTGGACATCGAGAAAAGTTGTTTGGAGCAGATCATGCTGATACAGTTGAGACCCGCCAGGTGTTGGATGAGTGTCTAGAAGCGATCGAGGCCGCGGAAGCATTTGAAGCGGAAGAAAAGGCAAAGGCAGAGGCAGAGGGGCGAAACTGAAGGATAACTTGTGATGGGCCTCGAGGAGCAAGAAAACATCAGAGACCGTGATATAGGGGTATCAAAATAACATTAGCAACAGGCATCCTCAATTCATCCTAAGCTAATACTCAACTTATACAAGTCACCTAAGTCTTTGAGCCATTTGAGATCGAGCTCATAGGTTTTCTTTTCTCCCTTGAGGGGATCCCCAGATGAATTCAAAGAATCGTCAAGCTTATTGGATTGAGTGTTTGATCTGCCCTGTGATACTTGCAGGCACCAAAAATCACTGGTTCATAATTACTGTCATCCATCCAACTGCTTAAACTAGAGCAACTTCGACAGGTCGAGAGCATCTACTACACGAGATTTCTCTGATACAATACTCTATCACAATAATGCCATAAACAACCAATCTCAAACTAACCCATCATTCCAATCCCATCTTACACCAGCAAAACACGCTTAGCTCACCAAAGTCCCCAATTAGCAGCGGAACTTGACAATCCCGTCCTAAAGAAATAGCTTCACGACCGGAATCATGGTGCCGAGTATAATCAAGTCTAAGCCCTATCTACTGTAGCCCGATGACATATCAGTTCCTGGCACTAAAGCTGGGGATTCAAGTAGCCGTGGGGCGGAGTACATGTTGTGAGCAAGGTGGTATTTGGCGTTCAAGCCACACGGCAGATGAGCCGAGCCAAACCTTGTGAAACTGTTTTGTTGATGTAACATTCTGCATTTTGTTTGTTTATGTTTTTCTGGCGTTTTATGCTTGATATTTACTTTACTGTTGAGAAGTTACATTTCTTGAGGAAACACTCTTTCAGCACTGTTGAACGTTAAATCTTTAACCATAACATTAATTCATTGATTCAACATCTCAATGATGACAGGCTCAAGGTAACATCGTCTCCGCGCTACCGCAATTCTCCGACCCTACTCCAAAGATAGCTCTGGCCGTGTTAGCCGTTCGACTAGCTAGTTTCGTCCTTTCAATTGCAACATATCGGCAAGGCCTAGATCCAGGGCTGAAGAGTAAGACCTAAGTTAGCATAGCATCAAAGACACAGCGGGATTCAGTAAACAAGCGCAATCTCATCACATTTGTCCTGTGAGATTCATGTCGTCATGATAGCTTCAAGACCCCCCTCAGAGGTAACCTTGCCGTGAACTCAATTCTCGTCGCCGAGCCATCTTCCAGCCTCCTCCAAGTACCGTCTCTCTCCCATTACAAGCTATATATCCCCCGAGCACTTCCCCTCAACAGATTCTCTCTCTTTAGTTCACCCCACATTCACTGTTTTGTTCCATCTTGCAGTATAAAACATCTTGTTCTCTGTTTGTCTATCCATCATAGCCAACACTCCCTTTCGTTCACATCACAACCACTGAAACCATGCGTTTCTCAACGCTCTTTGCCTCTGTAGGCCTTGCAGGCTCTGCACTTGCTGGCCTTGTTCCCCAATCTTACAGGGTCCCCGCTGCAAATGGTTTCCCCAACCCTGATGCTTCCCAGGAGAAGCAGATCGCTATCCAGGCTGGTGGAAAGCTTCCTGGTGCTCCTCTTCTTACTACTCTCGGTGTTGGTTCTACCACAGCTTTCCAGCTGATTGCCTTCAACGAGCTCTTTGAGACTGCTTACTTTTGCTCTCTTCTCTACAATGTCACCAACGGCATTGAAGGATACAAGGTTGAGGGTGACAAGTTGCATGAGGCCAAGCATGTTCTCAAGACTGTCCTTGCTGTAAGTACTTGCCCATCTTCATAAGAATATCGGTCAACTGACAATCTGCAATAGCAAGAAGAGCAGCACGCCATCGGCGCCCTGGCCACTCTCAAGTCAGCCGGCAAATTTGCCCCTTCACCTTGCAAATACCAATTCCCCGTCGACAACCTCAAGGACGCCATTCTCCTCGCTGAGACCTTCACTGCGGTTGTTCTCGGTGCTCTCCAAGACGCCAACGTTGTCTTCGCAAGCGAGGGTCTTCCAGAGGTTGTCCGCCTGATCTCATCCGTCATCGGCCAAGAGGGTGAGCAGAATGGTTTCTACCGTATCTACCTCGGCCAAGTTCCCTCTGAGTCACCATTCCTGACCACTGTCCCTGCTGCTTTCGCCTGGTCTGCTCTCCAAGGTTTCATTGTTCCTGGCTCTTGCACTGAGGATATCAAGAAGATCGACCTTCCCATCTTCCCTGCTCTCCAGGTCAACGGTGGTGCCATTGCTTTTATTGAGGCTGAGGACCAAAGCCTGACTTTCAGCGCTACTCTTGAGGAGTCTCACAAGGGCGAGGATATCTACATCACCTACACCACTGGCCAGCAACTTCCCTACAGTGTCAAGGCCGAGAACGTTAAGTGGGATGGCACCAGTGTCAAGCTTAAGGCTGAGTTCCCCTACCACAAGCTGGTCGCTCAGGGCTTCACTCACGCTGCTCTGACTACTTCCAACAACATTGCCACTCCTGATGACGTTCCCAACTTTACTCTTGCTGCTCCCGGTCTCATCCAAGTCAAGAACCCTCTTGACAGCGGCAAGGGAAGCTACTCTGACTAAAAAAAGAATGCGGGATGTTTGCAATGCCACTTGGCAGTTCTGGTACCTAATAGATCGGTGGAATTGGTGCTTCGGTGTCACAATGTTTACAGATTTCATGAATTTCTCTCGGGCCTAATGATAATTCAAAATTAAATAAATGGTTGGTTATGTTAAACTGCAAAAGTTCCAAGGTGTGCTGTTAGACATCCCGTCCCTCCATCTCGGATCTTCGGGATATGTGGATGACGCCTGTAACTCGCGCATGCCAATGAGATTGATCTGAGACCGCTGAGCTAGACGCCATCTCCAGCCCTAGAAATTGGGTTCTCGTAACTTTAGCCTCATATGAGTGATTTCATACACCGGATATCAAGCTTCAGACGGTCTCGGCTGCGGCTGACAGCTTCGCCTCTAGCACTCAACTGTTTGGGAGATCCAATTGAACGGCAGCTTGTTTTCACGTGTGATCGTATAAGCACCATGGGGGTCTCATCGCCATGCTATCACCTCATCAAACACGGGGATGAGACGTCTCTCCACATGTTTCACTGAGCAAAAGCTCCTTTCCCAAGCCACTGGTAGCAAGACATCAAGGTCACCTTCGGTTCACGAAACTTCAAGACCGTCAATACCTAAAAGGTAACCTTGAATCGTAAAATCGCTTTGCATTAGACCGAGCCGGACTCGTACTCAATTCTACTAACCAAACTCTCTATGCACCTCAGACTGCTTGTCTCTCGACTCCCATTTCTTCATCTGACTCATCGGGGAGGTTGTCGTTCATACGAATGAGCAGGTCCTTCAGTTTCCGTCGGTTCTTTCTCCACGTCAACAAATCTTCTTCCTGCTGATCTCGTATCGAGGGCGTGACTTGGTTCCCGTGTTCATCTTTAAGATAATCTGGCACGTCCTCTGCCGTGTTCGGTAAATTCCGCTCACCAAGATTATTGTTAAAACCATCACCGCAGTGCCACGATAGGGGCACTAGATGCGCCTCCTCGATGTGCTCTTTGAACTCCTCGTCCGTCTCGAACTCAGATGGTTTCTCTAATTTACCACACTCTCCCCATAAGCAGTTGATATCATCACCATGAACGATGTAAACGTGCCGTCGGAGAGTCTCGAGATTATGTAATTCAGCCTTGCAGTCTCTCCACTCACACAGAAACGGAAAGATTGGTGCATTCACTTGATAGTAGATGGTCTCTGGAGGAGGAGAAGGTTGCTTTGGCGGCCGGCCTCTTCGTTTTGGGAAGCCATTGGGATGAGGCCGCGGCTTAGTAGCAGCTTGTCGGGCCTGCCGAGGAGCTCCAGCTGCTGTTTGTAGATCTTTTAACTTGTTGGTTGGCCCCTTTGGTCTGCCTCTTCCTCGAGCCGGTGTCGTAGACGTTGCATCGCTGGAAACTCCCGTCTGTGTACCACCTGGACTCGACGTTTTCAGAGCGTTGACTGCTTTGAATAACGACTTTGGTCTTCCGCGTGGGGTAAGATCTGACGTGACCGGCGCGTCAAAGCCATCTTCCTCATCGATGCTGACTTCTTTGTAAGCTTCGAGATGTGCTGGTGACCTCGGGAGGACGACAGCAAGACTTGACCTACCACTTGGGGTCAAGGAACCTGGATGTTGCTTAATAGGGCTTTGGCTGTGACTTTTTGTTGGCGCATCTCGGGCTAGAGGATCCTCCGAATCTAGACTATCAGAGACGGAATCAAAGCGATTGATATGTGACGGTAATTGGGTGTCCTGGGTCTTTTTGCCTTGGTTCCCAGGGTTTATGCTGTTGAAGCTCATGCTGCACAGCTTAACACGCTTTGACGCGGCGTGGCGCGTTGAGTTTAGCGTGTAGAATGCGGGTTGTGGAATTGATTTGAGAAGAAAAGAAGCCAATAACTAAGATAAAGTAATGAGGCAAAGCTCTTAATGTGTAAGATATGCCACTTTGGGAAACAGATAATAAGTGTTATTGCTGTCCAGAGGTGCTCAAGGCAGGAGTCTGGGATCTGCCCAGAGATCCCTGGCGGGACGCTGATTTCATTCACTCACGTGCTCTAGCACTATGAAGAAGAGATGTTCACTATCAACAACCAGAAATATACTAGAGTCAACAATTTTTTTCAATTAATTATATATTTTAGCAACAGTTTTGCTCATTTTATTTTCGTAACTTATCATGTTGGACGCTGGGGCTGGGGGCGGATCATTATTTATGTACGCGTTTGCTGTTGTACATATCACGGAAAAGATTGGCTATTATCAGGAGTTCAATTCATTTCGATAACTGCTATTCGTATTTATACAAAGACAATCATAATCAGCAAAACTCCAATCGTGCCATCATCAATCTCATCCGTTTACCAATCGCCTTTCCAACCATCGCCTCTTGAAAACAAAGGAAATTTTGATGTATTAAACCTCAGTCTCGACGTCAGGCTTTCGGCCGTCCAGGGCTCCAAGCTTAGCCACCTTTCGAACTGCAAACTTGGCTTCATCCTTGGCAAACTGCATGTTGCGCATGGGTCGCCATTGCATAAGACCTCGATGTTTGCGATGCATGTCGCGACTATCAGATCGGTATGACTTGATCTTCTTGATGGGGTTCTTGCTGCTGGAGCTGGCCTGGGAACTGTTCGTGGCACTCGTCGCGTTAGTGCCTGTTGTATCAACGGAAGGGCGCCCGTTCTCAGAGGGCTCTGTAGGCTCAGTGTCGGCATCTTGAATACCAAGATCAGGATCGGAGTCATCTTCATCAAAGTCGTCGTATTCCTCGCTAGACTCGCTGTTGGTCTTCTTGCGCATCAACGCAGAGGGATCTTCACCAAAGGCACCGCTCCAATCGGTGCCATCCTTGGCAAGCCACTTCTGCTTCTGTTTCTCGTCGGCTTGGGCGAGAACGTCACGGCCGTGGGTCAGAGACTCTTCGTGAAGTTTCTGGATCACAGGAGGAACCTCGGTCTCAACATCCTGCTGACGCACACCCTCTGCGTAGCATGCTTCCCAAACCTCGATCGTCTCACGGTCGTCGTTTGTGCTGGCAAACTTGATGTGGTCGGAATCCGTTCCAGCAGAAAATCGGGCTCGGAATCGAACTCGACCAACCTGCTCCATCTCGATATCGGGAACAGACTTGTAATTTTCTTCAGTAATGTAGTTCTGAGAAAGTCGTACGCTGTGGTTGCACTTCCAAACAGGGATGTCAAAGTCAGTCTCCTCACCATCAACAAGCTCCAGGAGCCAGAGAACGGCATAGGCATCGGGGTTTCGCTTTCCACTTGGGTAGAATTCCATGAAGATGGGTGACCTGTAGCGGTGTCGAACTGGCAGGCGAACACGTTGGTTTCCGTCGGCACCACTGATGTTGAATGACATTCCATCGGCCTCACGAGTGGATGAGCTCTTGCCAACACTGGCAGACGAGCCTCCAGTACGGAAGCGAATCTTGGCGTGGTTCGAAGGAGCATAGCCAGTGGTGGTAATGGAGTCGGACACGAACTCGAAAGTACCAATGTCCCAACCCAACTGAGGAGGAGGAAGTCGAAGCTCAACTGAACGGAACAATAAAGAGATACGAATGCGGCCAAATCCGATGCCTCCGTCGAGAGGGTACCATCTGGTAGACTCGCTGCTGGTTTGAAGGATATCCGTGATCTTGAGAGGGACAACACCAATGAGAGGGTCATGTTGGCGGTTGCGGGAGTCACGGACTGCAACGGTAACGATAGCAGAACGCCAGTCTCGAATGAACTTTTCGGTTCCAGCATTGAAAATGGGCTGAGAAGAAACGACCTTTGTTCGGGTCTTGTAAACAAGATCGTCGTTGAGAAGGATGGTGCAGTAAGAGCTGGGGAGGGACTTGGCCTGTTCTTCCTTGACTTCACCGGCTTCGGGACGAGCTGGCTCATACTCTCTACCCTTTCGCTTGCCATTTGAACCCTTGATGTTTTCCAATTCGAGGCCAACAATCTGGTGGACGACGATGCTAAGGATACCGGAAGGCCACAATGGGTCAGGAGGGGTGTGAATGACGGCATCTTCCTCCTTGGTGTCGATCGAGCCCTTGTTCTCTTGAAGCTCAGGCTTGTCCGCGAGCGCCTTGGGTAGATTGAGGTCCCGACCATCGGTTCGGAGAGCCTTTCGGAATTGGGTCTTGCCAAAGAAACCGACTTCCCAGTGGAGCTCTCCGGGCATTTCGCTGTCTGCCTTGACTCCCCGAAGCTTAGAAACTTGGGGGAACATCTTGCCGGGGTGCTGAATTAGTTTCTGAATGCTGAGTTCAACCTTGCCAACGACATCGTCAGCAGATGATCGGTCACTGTCCCAAAGCTCAACCGAAAGTTGCTCGTCAGCCTTGAGAAGATCAGCAGTAACCAAAAGGCCAGCGCTCTCCTCGAAAACGGGGTTGAGATCGTCCTGGATAACACGAGTGCAGAATTGGGGCTTGGAAAACTTGCTCCAGCTGATGGTGATGTAAGGATCGGAACCACCACCCTTGCTTCCACGCTGATCCTGCTTGCTGAGGCCGGTAGCCTTGTGGATTCGAACAAACATGACACCGAGAGCCAATGTCTCCTTCTTGATATCGTCACCCTGGAGCATCTTGCTAAGATCAAGAGACAGACTCTTGGGAGCCACGTACATCGACGCGGCAGCGCCAATGGCCCAGTTGACAAAGTTGGAGATGAGAGGAAGATTGAGAATGTTGACGCCCTTCTCGATCATTGGTGTACAACCAGCCTGAACCTTAGGGATACCCATAAGCGTAAAAGTGAGAGTCTTGAGGAAAGGGGGATCAGGAGTCAATTGGAGTCGAATTCGCGCGGTCGCAACAAGGCCTTGAAGTTCAACCCAGATGGGCAAAGGAACACCGAAGAGACCCTTGATACCCAGGTAGAAAACAAGCTGCATACCCATGTTGCGCGCTTTGGATGCGATATCCGCCCCAGAGGGCTTCGCATGATAGGCGATCGCAACCTCGAGGTTGTAGAACGAGCCAGCTTGCTCGTTGGCCGCGAGCTCTTCGGGGTCAGTGGTCTTCTCGTTCTGTCGGTGCTGCTCATCCTTGATGTCTTGGACATGAGAGTCGGGAAGAGCACGCATGTTGAGGATTCGAATGGGGTTGTTACCCTGGGAGATATCTGCAACGCGAACGTTCTCAATGACACCAGGAACTGAGGCCGCCATAACATCTTCTAGACTGCTACAGTTAGCACCAAGTCATGGCACTCAAAATATTTACTTACGTATCGGCAACGCCAGCGAACATCTCAGGGTTGATCAGCCCCCACATGATTCCGAGCATGGTGTTCATCCATTCAACGGACTCAGGGATCAGGTTTGCGGTGGCAGTCTCGCCACGTTCTTGCTCGCTTGACCATTCGAGATCTCTACCCTGACGAATCAAGTCTTTTGTCCAGAGGAAAACACCAGAAGCTACGCAGAAACCCAGGGGAATAAGACCGAGCAGACGGCCGCCAAACATTTTTCCAATAAAGACGATGGCGGCAAAGATTCCGATACACAAGACGTTGCTACGTTGCTCGAGAATCTCGAACATTGGTTCGTAGCTAACTGAAGGAGTCTTGTAGAACACCACGGATGTCTTCTCACTTCGAATGGGGACATCTGATGTTGCACCCTCTTGGACGGGATCAGGAGGTGCTGTGACATCTTGGGCGTAGCGGTACTCTTCACCAGACTGTTTCGACGAGGTTGCGATGGTGGCAGGCTTTCCCAAGTTCTCGTTGGGAATTGATAGCTGAAACCGTCAGTTGTTGATTGTGTTTAGTGACATATTGGTGCCTACCTGGGGATTCTCGACAGCTTCCTTGTAATCAATGTCGGCATCTCGAATGCCAACATCCTTTCCCGTCACAGGATCACGCACGGTGCGGATATCCTTTTGTTTCCGAAGAGCTTCAGCTCGATCATTTTTGTGATCCTTTGTCTCTCCGTGGACCTTGTTCTGCTTCAGTTGCTCGTCAATCTCAGCATCACGGGCCTTCTTGTTCTGATCCAACTGGTCCATGAACTGGCGAACATTAGGCACACGGTTCTGGGCGCTGTAATGCTGCCCAGCTGCAGGGATCTGCTGCTGCTCAAACTGCGACATGATGGCGAACCTCAAGGCAGATAGAGAATTAAGCTGGTGGTTGAGCTCCCCAACTCGGATATAATGATGAAGAGAGAAAAGAGGAAGAGAAGAGGAGAGGAGAGGACAGAACAGGGAGACAAGTGAAATATTGATATGACACCAGAATTGGAAATTAGCGTCACACAAATGCCACTACTTGGCCCATTGCGATTGATTCATCGCTTTGGGATGGTTGCTTGAAACGCAATCAACCAAGGAAAGCAATCAAGTACAAGGCATGATTGAGGTCGATGACGTCGATTATCCGCAAGTACGTATTTCCAATACAGGGAGCTTTGGCCCCGGGACGATCAGTTTTAGTGGGCACAAGAGCCGCGTTAAGGCAAGTTACAGGGGGGAGCTCCCCGCACTCGTGGCTGGGCTGCTTAATTCCGGAGCGCCACTAACCGTGAATGACGTTGATGGTCTTATCAGCAGCGTCTCATAAACGACGATGATGTCTACTGTATTCAGTGACAATTGACAGACAATTATAGGCACAACATCACAGTAATTCATCAGATCATCTTGTTTCATGCATGCCAAGACTGCTAATCGCTGATCAAGATACAAGAGTTCAGCCAGACAGGGAACTCACAAGCATCAACATCCATGGCATGATCATCCCAACCCCCACTACCAAAAGCTTGCGTAAATGGCTTAGCCAAGCTTGGGTCCCAAGGAGGACTTCAGCTGGATCTCGATCTTTCAATTGGCGCAAGCTCTCTTTCTTCCTTTGAAACTGTTTCCCACCACCAACGCCAACTCCAACTGACAGCTTCTCTTATCAAGAACTAGAAGCAGGGGCTTCGTTTGCCTTTGGATCAAACTCTTTTCCCGACAAGTCAACTCCCGGTTCAGCGGTATGTAAGCCATCGAGCTTAATGTATTGAAGTGAGTCAAGATCGACGTTGTTGAATTGTCGTACCTGCAAGCTGTCAGTAAAGACCATTCTACGACAGTGAATCAATCACCCACACTGATGCCATAGCGAGGAGCCTCAGGCCATACCCTCGCAAAATCGATGCCGATGCTGGCACCGCATTTGGGGCAAAACATGTGATCGCGAGCCTTTGTGTTGAATTGATATCGCGAGACACGCTTATCTGAGTCGTTGTGCCATGTCACTTTATCGTACGCGGGGTCTAGTGAGTGATTCGGGTCAGCATTATCCGAACCAAAACCTTTAGCAATTCATACAAACAAGAAGGTAACCTCCACGACGGCAAATGGAACAATTGCAGCTTATAACCTCATGCTTGGGTAGAGGAGGAGAGAGTGCTACTGAGAGGCCGATATAGCCACAGTGACAGCCTGCCTCGTAGGTGACCTCAGGCCCACCAGCATTGGCGAGCTTTTCGAGATATGCAGCAAACATTGGGTGTTGCAGTCGTTTCTATCGTGCGTAAAGTTGAATGATAGCAAAGAAGAGCTCGTAGGCGATGCTCTCAGTATTTAAGAACGAAACGACCATAAGCAATTGACAATTCGGATGAATTTCGCGTTTCAGCGCTTACTTCGAAGTGGTATAATTAGATCTCTAGTTGCCTATTTTGGACTTCGACGATCTGGAGTTCCACCGACTGGGAAGAATGATCCTGCTGTCAGCATCGGAATTCCGTGTCTACAGCAACACTGACCGCTCTGTCAATCCGTATATACCATCAAGGAATTTGTCAGCGATATTGGAATTGATGCTTGAGACTGTCACAAATATGAGTAGTATCAACAAGATGTAGATCACAGTCTACCTTATGTGTAGGTACATCTCGGAGTACCTATGGCACCGTAACAAGGACTTTTCGATTCTCTAATTGCCGTTGCTAGCTATTTTCCCTTGTGAATTTTGGCCCCTCCTCGATAATACTGATCAATAATTTAGGAAGACCCTTCACAGACTGCTCCTCTTTCTTCAACATCTCCCCGCTCACCCCCAGATAATGGTCCTTGAAAGCACACCAAAGCTCCTGATCAGAAGCGTCTGTAGACCCAGGTCGAGGGTAATACGGATCGTTTCGCCAAAAACACTCAGCAGCGGTTGCAGCACCATTGCCATCCATTGTGACGGGATTGCAGCAGTCAAAGTCTAGAATCCACATTGAATGCATCCCAAAGATGGTTGTATCGAATGGACTACATGGATGTGAGTGTAAAGTAGAGCGTGAACGAGCAAGAACGAATTCAAAGTCGTTGGCATCGATGCGTGCAACCCAATGAAGAAATGCGAGGCCTTCAGCCATGACCTTCGCGTAGTTTTGCACATCGAGACCAAGCTCTATCATTCGGTCTAGATTAAGTGGGAAGTTTCTTAGACTGAAGAAGGTGCTGCGGTTCGTATTCCCCCAATCATTCTTTCTGCGACCAAGATAGGGGCGGATGAGGCAGTGCTCGTTCTTTTTGTCGTTAATGATAGCATCCTGATCACTTCCTCCTCTTGCAAACACCCGGATAATCATAGCTTTCATAGTCAACGGTGCATTGAGTATAAATTAAGTAAACGTTAGATGAACAACAACATATCCCCCATATAATTCTCTCTTGAGTGTCGGAGAAGCTCCTAGTTTCCGAAAACTGTCAAAGCATGCTCCGACATCCACTCTATACCTTCAGCTCTCCAACCATCCACTTCAATATACGTTCCGTTGATGTTGAAGACCATGCCCCTCCCATTGAGGCCATAAGACGGTTCATAGATAGGCCACTTGTTACCACTGAATAGTTCCGACCCTGAATCTCCATTAGGATCAAGGCCATTAATAAAATTGATCCAGGCAGTGCTGATCGTCTTGGACATAGCCTTCGCATCCGCTGGGTATGTCCCATTACCACCATATGGATTAGTATCATATCCATCACCATTGATGTTATGAAACACAAAAGCGACCTGAAAGGGTTAGCTATTTGTCGCTGATATAGACCCCATGGTATTACTTCTTGGAAATGTCCCACTCCACCCTGAGGCCGATGTCCGTTCGGCATGATACTGAAGCGATATGCATAAGGGAGATCCACGTTCTTGTAGACCTTATTCTCATCGATACGTTCAGAAATCTCTGACGATGAGAACAAGGCGGTGGAATTCAAGTTGCCGATACGACGGGAAGCTGAGAGCAACTCGCCTTTTATAGTGTCATAGGTTGCAGGTAATCGTAGACCGTTGAGTAATGCCGGAGGATTTAGCCATAGGGCCATCTACCCGGAGACGAATCAGAGGAATGCCAAGATACTGTGCCAATGCCCAGCATGTCGTCAGAGTTCGGGTCTTGTTCAATTGATGGGATTTGTATTATGCAACAATGTGCCTGCTTATTGCAAAAAGTCGCCCTTGGATTCCTTGAGAAGCATCTGATACTCGGGCTCAAACTGCATATACATCGCTTCAGGACTCCCTGTGTTGTCTTTTGTATACTGAGCCTCCTCATCACTCACGATAGACTTCTTGAGCTGAGATCCATTCGGAGCCACAGCAGCTTCTACAAGCAATTGTGCCTGGCATGCCCGCTCCAAAGCGATGAAGAACGCTGCTGCTTCACCAATGGTACCCCCCGAAGTAAGAAGGCCGTGGTTCTGCAAAATGATGTTCTTCTTGGTGGCTCCAAGAGCATCAGCAAGCCTATTGCCTTCTTCCTTGGCGAAAACGACTCCCCCAAAATTGGCATAGACGGCGAGATCGTTGTAGAACATACAGCTGTCCTGATTGATCATTTCGATGGGCTTGCCAAAGGTTGACCAGGCCCGGCCGTATGGACTGTGAAGATGACAAGCAGCGTTGATATCTGGACGACGTTTGTGAATGGCAGCGTGAATGATGAAACCAGCTGTGTTGACAGGTTTCTCTGCACCCCCAATACGATTGCCATTCTCATCAATGTGAACCATATCAGATACGGTTAATAACCCGAAGTGAACGCCATATGGATTGATCCAAAAGGATTCTGGATCAACAGGATCTACATTTGTTAGTCTGATAGCGAAGCATCGAGATGTCGCTGCAAACCTCTCAAACTAATATGGCCACTGCTTCCATCAGCATACCCAAGTTTGGCAAACACACGAAATGCTGCAGCCATTTGTCCCAGTTGCCATTGTCTCGTAGCTTCTTTGGTAGAAAACTCTGGAATCTTGTGGATGCGTTTCACTCTGCCATCTTGGGCCTTTGCTGTGTTTAGGATGGATTGGCCTATTGGGCTAGCTGTGGTGGCAGATGGTGACATCTTCAGTGATTAGAAATAATACTGAGTCGAATATTCGACCATGAGACTAATGATAGAGGCAGATTGATCTTAATATATCTATACTGATGCGGGGTTGATCGCCAGTGATGATTGATGGCGAATAGATTATGCTTCATGATTGGTGGTTGATGGGTTGACGAATTGGTTATCCGAAGCATTGGGCTGATGTTGAGAATCAGACAGGATCCCATTGATCACAGTAGCGAATAAAAATATTCAGAAATTACATCCTTTTGCCAGTTCCATCTCGTTCAATTCTGATATAATACAACATGCAATATCTCACAAAATATACTTACACCAAGCTTGAACAATTTAAGAACAAAGGCACCCGCGGGATGCGAATATTTATAAGCTGGCGGAAAATGATCGTCAACATGGTCAGATTATGCTTATCCGAGATCCACAAAGCCGTCTTGGCAAGGCGGTCTTTCGGTATTTCGGACTCTCAAGGTCCGCCTGTAGTGGTGAGCGGACTTTCGAGCTTCAAATTATCTAATATTTGCCAAGACGCGGATCATCATGGCGCTCCTTCAGACTATGTTGCGCCGCAAGTCCGCTTCGATATTTGTAATCTGGCATGGATCTCATACTTGACTCTAAGGCAGTTAAATTTGTATATAAGGTCTTGAGGTCTGTTGAAGAGTTGGAATTATCATCATAAGCCAAGCTTCAGATTTACAGACTCAGTTTACAACTCCACCAACTCTCCGCCAGCATGTCTCGCCATATCACTGTCATTCCTGCATCAACCAAGGCTGGTCGAGAGACCATCCGTGTGCTTCTAGAGTCTGAGAGCAAGCCGACTATTCGTGCCGTCTATCGAGACACTTCCAAAGCCCCTCCGGAGTTTCTCAAGCATTCGAGTTTCGAAGCTGTCAAGGGCGACATCGGAGACGGTGATAGCCTTGATTTTACAGGCTCAAACACAGTCTTTTACATCCCACCTCCTACCTACGATGGGACTGATACCGGTGATTGGGCAACTCGAGCTGGTACGAATGTAAAGAAAGCTCTACAAAAGGCAAACATCCAGAGACTTTTGATTCTTTCTGCTATCGGAGCTCACAACTCAAGTGGCATTGTATGTCTCCTATTCATTTGAAACTTGCAGCAGAAAACTAACAACAATTATTTAGGGAGTCCTTAGAGTAAACTACATTTCTGACGAACTTCTCAAGGACTCTGTTCCAGAAGTCTCGATTGTCAGGCCTACCTACTTCCACGAGGACTGGGCTCATCTCCTCGATGCCGCAAAGGAGGAGAACCCAACTATTTACTCCTGGATCACCCCTATCGACTACAAAATTCCTCTGGTATGTAAAGAAATCGCCACCTGCAAGGAACATGAAGGAAACCATACTAACGTATTATCCAAGGTTGGTCTCAAGGACGTAGGCGAAAACTGCGCCGACGCCCTCTTGGCCGAGACAGCCAAGCCCAGCCCTCATTATTTCAACGTTTTTGGTCCAAGGGCTTACGGTTCTCTTGATCTGAAGGAGGCAGTCGAAGAAATCACAGGCAAGAAATATGAGCTGAAGCTTGTTGAGAAGGACCAGCTGCTTGACTACTGGAAACAAATTGTTCCTGAATACTATGCGGAAGAGTTCAAGGAGATGACGACCTGCGGCTTGGCGGACGGCATTATTGCAAAGAACTTTGTGTATGATGAGAATACCATTAGGGGAAAGGTGGAATTGGTTGATGCTCTGCGCCGCTTGTATAAGAAATAGGGGACACCTCTGAAGAAGGCTGACAGGGGCTACCTTATTGTGTGTTCATAGCTACAAAACAACTATCATCTTATAGCAAGATATATCTATTGACTGTGATTCACCATCAGCCTGCTGTAGGTGACAAAATTCAAAGTCTGCACGAGATGGATCCTGCATTTTTAAGTTGGCATGCTCATAAATCACTGCAAGACTCTAAGGATAAGTTTAAAAATAAGGCTAAAGTTAGTCTGTTTCGATGTAACTCCCGAAAACTTTAGAATATAATTTTTAATATTAATAAATACCAAATAGGCTGGATCCAAATGCTTTCCTATTACTTCCCAAACATCTTCAAAGTACGCTCGCAAGCATATGAATAAACCCAACCATCACAGCCACAGCCAATATCCTCGACATCGATATCCTGTTTATAGCCCCGTTACTTCGCGGGTTCAGATCCTTTGCACACTGTTTAATACAAGCATATGCTTTGGTTCCAATCGGCCCATCCTCCTCATCCTTTGTCGTGTAATAGGTCTCTTGGCAAGTCCTAGCACATCCAAAAGCCCAACAAGAAACTTCCTCTGCATCAATATGGCTCCTCCCGTCCAACTCCTTCTGACTCCAAGTTGCATTCGCCCCAACAAGGGTAGTCCTACCGCTATAAGAAAAGCCCATGCTTCTTGGGGAGCCTTTCTTTATAAAAGCAGTTGAGAGTCGAATTCTTGATTGGTTGGGTGCCGCATCTGCAGGAATCGTGATGTTGACTTGGGTCACATCTATGTCTACTTCTTTTGCGAGCCAGCACACAGGCCCTGTACCCCATCCTGGTGGTGTCAACGCGAGATAGACACGGTAAGCGTTTGCTCGTTTGCGGACTTCTGAGTCTGGCCCGATTCTTTGCTCAATTTTGACGTCGTAGAGTTTGTCTGCTTCAAAGGGGTAAGGGAGGCTGATTGCAGGTGAAGCGTTAACAGTTGAAAGGGTCGTCAAAAGAGTGAAGGCGATCACTCGTATAAGGAATGGTATTAACTCCATTGTCAAACTTTAAGAATGGTCTAAAGAAAAAGCCCGATGAGGCTGTAGAGATGATAGTGAAGAAGGAAAATGAGTGAGATTCAAATTAGATCGCGCTTTGGCTGACAAAATCATCAAACAGGGGCTCCGTGTCCACCACGCCAAACCTGTCTGGGCAGTCTTGTCATCCTTCAAGACTATAACCGATATGAGCTGTTTTGATGAGAATATGAAAATACAATCAATCCTGCTATATGCTATGGATATGTTTTATCGATTGTATTCGAAGAGAGAATCGAGAAACCTCGGAATGTTTGTCCTTACTTCGTTTGCTATTCACAGCTCAACTTCGGACACAAATCAACGACAAATCACCATGTGAAAGAAATGAGTTATGGAATTAGTACAAGTTAACAAAGACCACCAGGGCCACCTCAAGTCTAGGCACCGTCGGAGTATTCAATGAACCAAGGGACAAACGAAAGCAAATTCAATTTGGATATTGAGCCATTTGGGCTGATGCCTGGCTTCGTTCTATAAATCTTTGAATACGTTCTCTTGAGATTAAATTAATACAACATCAAGACGTTCTGGGTCTATTCCTCTCAGACATCACCATCAACATCGCAAGTGTCACTCTTTCTTAGTCCTAACTTGTCAGCAAAAAGCCTAGTCGCCCTTCTTACAGTTCTCTCTACCAGAATACCTGTATATCTAAGCGAACAACATGGCCAACTCGGCGGACCGAGTCTTCCATACTTTGGAGCTGGCTCAGCAAATCGTCTTTGAGCTAGAACTCAAGGACTTCTTCAGAGCATTATTGATTACAAAAGGACTTTGGGAAAGCCGTATACCAAACCACGTTTGGGAGGAACATCTTATGCGTCTTGGATACCCACTTCACACTATTCGACAAACCCGTCATTCGCTGAAGTCCTGTTACATGAGCATATCTCAAGCCGCCGATGCCATCAGTCACGGAGTCAGGCCCGGATCGAACCTTGTGAGGTTGGAAGATGAACTTGGAGGGAATCACAGATACGAATACCACTATGATGGCGACATGGCAGCGCCACTCATCATTCAGTCGACCCCGCCAGACAAAGTATCAGACAAGTGCAACATCTTTGCGATAGATGTCGAAGACTTACGCCTCATATTCACAGACGTAGAGAATTTCCCCAGAAGCGTAGTGATCAATGGCACTTCTCTCCTAGGACTAGATCACAGTGCTGGGGACATATATACACCTCCCGTTGTTCTATACAATCTTGATGACTGGTCTCTAGTAAACAAGTTTACAATCACTCGTCCCAGCAACGATGAGAACATGAGCTGGTTGAGAGACTACCAGCTCTATAATAATTTCATTGTAGTTACTTCCGTCATCTTTAATCGGGCAGAGGATCTGATCCAGACTTCGTTCGATATTTGGGACGTTGAAGGAACGAAACATGGAGGAATAATTGTCCCTGATGAACAAGGGTTTGCAGGCGATCCGTTCCATTCTAATGACGGCCGTCACTACTTGACGATACTTAGCCAACCCTTGTTCGAAAATCGCTTACAAACTACTATTCAAACATGGGACCTAGAACGGATGGAGTTGACATATACATACACCATCTCCCAAGAAGACATGGATAAAGATCATTGCTGCCATACAACAAATGGTATTGTGTATATTTGTGACGATTCAGAGAAGGTTTCCGAGTACTGGGCTGTTGATGGCAGACCTATTTCCAGGAAAGTTGCAGAGATGGAATTCAACTCAGATCACTCGAGAAAGTTCTCAGATGGTAGCAGGATCGTATGGGAAAAGTGGCTTACACTGTACACCAAGGAGGGAGATGTAGTGCAGCGCTTCAAGGTGAAGCAGGTACTAGGCCAGTACTACTTTGAAGCTGGCATACTTTTTGACAGATTCATCTTCTGCATCTCTTGGCGGGAGAAGTCGAAGTATGCCGCGTTGATGGTTTATTCCAAGACGGGAGAGAAATTGACACGGACTCGTTTGGATGTGAGAGGACGCTGCTTGAGATGGTTTGTTGACATTGCGGGACGCCTGGTTTTGATCTGGGACAGGAGTCCATATATGGAAATTATAGATTTCCGTGGTCTTTTGTAATCAAGTAGAGAGTGCCAGAGATGCTTATGGATTGGGAGTTTGAGAACTGGATAAGCATCAGTATGAACATCTTTCGTGATGTTTCTAAGAAATGATATGATATTTCTCATGTCCCTGAG